CTATGCCACTTCTTTATAGCTCTTACACAAGTTAAAAAAAAGAACTCTTGGGCTTTTAATGCTCAATCCTATGGGCACTCCCTACAAAATAACCTAATCCCATTATCTTCACGAATCACAAATCTCCATCTCAGAATCTGCTTCGATTCTTTTAACGATTTCCCGAGACCCACCAGATCACCGAACCCGATGGTACTGAGGGAAATGTAGGCGAAGTAGCAGGCGTCCAACAGCGACCACCGCTCCCACTGCGAGAACACGAGGCCGCCGCAGAACACGTAGATGGCGATGACGAGGAGACACCACGTGATAGGGATGGTCCGCGGCCGAGGTTTCTCTCCCGACGACGTCTGGCAATGAGAACGGTGGGAAGGGGGAAACGTGTTTATATTTTGTTTTGAGGTGGTTGTTTTTTATTTGTTGTTGTGAAGTGGTTTTTGTTGGTATTGGTAGTTGTTTTTTGTGGAATGGTTTGGTTTATGCTTTACTGGCTTTGGGTATTTTTTTGTTGTTATTATTTTAGGTATTGAAGCTCGGTTCGCAAGGAGGTTGGTGGTTACTATGGCGTTGGAAGTCCAGCATAATTTATCAGTACCTATCATCAATTTGAAAAAAAAGAAAAAAACAACTTTTCGGACATTAAACATAATCAACTAATCTTCAATTCATTCGATATGACACATATCTGCGTTTCACCGTGGATGATGCGTGTAATAGCGCTCAATACTGCCACTGGTTACAAATAAAGTATCGTCCCTGCGTCTCAAAACGTACCAAAGATACCCACCTTTACACCGTTGCCTCTCGACGGGGAAGCTGTCACGGGTCTGATTGTACCGCTCGCTGACCTATAGTATCCGAGGGACCCGATATCACACCTACAAAATTAAAAAAAAAAAAAAATTAGTTAGATTTACATGAAGTAGTAGAGGCTGGTGTTTATTATTCTTGTTGGTGTTATTGCTGTTGCCACTACTAATACCATATCTAAATGCTGTTTTATCATAAAATCGTTATTACCGTTTTATCATTCATTTGTCATTAACCTTGCCATATATCTCTTAATGTCTGTGTCCAGTTTGTGTTCCTTGTCCTTATCTTCGAATCACGTAGTTTCTTTTATTCTGTTTACCTTTTAAGGAATGTTTGCAATGTTCTTGGTTTCAGCATGTTGCGTTCGCCAAAGAGTTTATGTTGATGGCACATTCATGCAAAGTCAAACTAGGGGAAATCAATGCAAGGAAATATATAATATAATTCATAATAAATGCACAACTGGAATTATGGTTATGGTAATAACTGTGTATTAGATATATATATAAATATATATACAGATGGATAGATAGACAGAGAAAGAGAGAGAGAGAGAGAGAGAGAGAGAGAGAGAGAGAGAGAGAGAGAGAGAGAGAGAGAGAGAGAGCGAGTGAGCGAGAGAGAGTGAGAGAGAGAGAGAGAGAGAGAGAGAGAGAGAGAGAGAGAGAGAGAGAGAGAGAGAGAGAGAGAGAGAGAGAGAGAGGGAGAGAGAGAGAGAGAGAGAGAGAGAGAGAGAGAGAGAGAGAGAGAGAGAGAGAGAAAGACAGGGAAAGGAAGAAGAGATAGAGAAGGAGAAAGAGACAGACAGAAAAACAGAATAAAACAGTAAAAAGACAAACAGACAGATAAAAGATAGGCAGAGAAAGAGACAGATAAAAGACAGGCAGAGAAAGAGACAGATAAAAAGACAGAAAAACAAACAGAAAAAGAGACAGACAGAAAAGTAGGCACTGAAAGAGTCAAACAAAAAGGCAGAGAAAAATACGAAGCCAAACTGCCACTTACCAAGCAGCTTATTCACATTAACCTCACCTCTGCTATTAATTAATCCCTTTCACTACAAGAAGACTAATCCTCACTTTCTTTGCCTTACGTGCCAAACCCCCCCAAAGGGAATGTAAAAAAAAAAAAAAAAAAAAAAAAAAAAAAAAATCTTCCTTTCCTCAAGATAGAACGAAAGTAAGAAGGAAGGGAAGGAAGAAGAAGAAAATAATCAAAATAGAAATAAAAAGAAAAAAGAAAACTAAAGTAAGAAAGAAGGGAAGGTAGAAGAAGAAGAAGAAGAAAATAATCAAAATAGAAATAAAAAGAAAAAAAGGAAACGAAAGTAAGAATGAAGGGAAGGAAGAAGAAGAAGAAGAAGAAAACACTTAAACCGCCTGTCTTCCTCAATAAGTCAACCTGGCAGTGAGTATGCAACACCGGCCTTCTAAGTTACAAGAACAAGTTGCCACGACATTACACGAATGTCATTGCACATCCTAGTGGTATCTGGCAACCCACTCGCTCTATGCCCTGGTGCCCTCGTGTCTAGAGGGGAAAGGCAGGTATAAATTAATGCACGTTAAATGCTGACATCTTCTGACATCATTTCCCTTAAAGTGTCAAGTTGGGAGAGCGAGCATAGAGGAAGGTACATTTTTTAAAATCTTTTTATTGATGTAAACATAGATATGGGGAGATAGTGAGATAGTGATAGTGAGAGGGATAGATGGAGAGAGACGGAAATAGATAGGTAGATAGATAGAGAGGGAGAAGAAAAAAAAGTGGAAGCGAGTGAGAATGCTGAACGGAGAAGGAAGGAGAGGGAGGGTGAGAGGGCGGGAGAGAGGGAGAGGGATGGAGGAAAGAAGGAAGGGAGAGAGGGAAAGAGGGAAAAAGAGAGGTAGGGAGGGAGAGGGAGGGAGGGAGGGAGGAAGGGATAGAGGGATAGAGGGAAAAAGAGAGGTAGGGAGGTAGGGAGGGAGGGACGGAAAGAGAGAGAGAGAGAGAGAGAGAGAGAGAGAGAGAGAGAGAGAGAGAGAGAGAGAGAGAGAGAGAGAGAGAGAGAGAGAGAGAGAGAGAGAGAGTGAGAGCCAGCCAGGCAGACAAGCAAAGAACCAGAAACACAAACCGAAAAAACAAACAAACCGAACGAAAGCGACACACACACAAACAACCAAACAGCCAAACACCCGAACAGACAGACACGAGAAGGCCATCCACCGCTGCATTCCTCATCCTCATCTGAATGAACGAAAGCCCTCTAGATCAGCTGCTCCTGACACTGGCACTCTCCTCGTGAAATCACAACGGCGGAACAAACAGAGGATATTGCTCTTAAAACACACACACCAACTACGCCTTATGGTCCCGGGCTTCTGCTATGTTCGAGTGGCAGGGAGCTGAGGTATTGGTGAATTGCTAGGCTGAAATCCTATAGGCTGAAATTCTCTTGATTAAAAAAAATGTTTATTGTCTATTTTGGAACTGAGAGGGTGTATTTGGCATTTTCATTGTTGTTATTGCTGTTCTTGTTATGATGACGATGATGATTTTAACAATAATGACAATGATAATAATAATAATAATAATAAATCATGATGATAATAGTAATGATATTGATAATAGCAATAATACTAATAAAATGATAACATTGATGACAATGATAATATTGATAATGATAAAAGTAATAATAACAGTAATCATGATAGAAATATTAACAATGATAATAACAACAATAATAATAATGACTGTCATCATAAACATTCTTATCCTTATCATTACTATTGTCATCCTAATCACAATGATCATCCCCATCATCAATATCATTATCAAAACTATCATTATCATCATTAATCTCCCGAATGCGTCTTCCTTGTTCCCTTGACAAACAGCGGCTCCGAAATCTTGAAATAGCAGAGGTCATGTTAAGTGAATTAATGGAGGTTCTTGTGAAACAGATGAGTTGTAGTGCGAATGAAGGAAAGTCAAGCGACGGGTGTCAGAGGCGGAAATTTATATGTAGAGGCCCACGCTTGCATGCAACAGGCGGTAGTCATTTTCCTTCGTGATATTTGATTTTTTTTTTTTTGTTAATTTTTTGGGCCACTTTTTTTATTTAATTCAACTTGTTTCTCTGCTTAGCTATATATATTTCATTCTCTCATTCTCTTTTTCATTGTTTTCCCCTTCCTCTTTCCTTCCCTCCCTATCCTCTCCCCGGTACTCCCTTCCTCCCCTTTTTCTCTCCGTCCCTTCTATCCCTCCTTACCTTTCGTTCTCCCTGTCCCTCCTTTCCACCCTCCTCTCCCGGTACCCCCTTCTTCCCCTCCTACCTCTCCCCTTCCCTCCGTCCCTCCCTTCCCTCCTTTACCTCCCTCCCTCCCCCCTACCTCTATCCTTCCCTCCCTCCCTCCTTCCCATCCCTCTTACCTCTCCCATTTCATCCCTCCCTTCCCTCCTACCTCTCCCTTTCCCACCCTCCCTCCTACCTCTCCCCTTCCCTCCTACCTCTCCCCTCCCTTTCCTCCCTTCCCTCCTACCTCTCCCATCCCCTGCCTCCCTCCCTCCTACCTCTCCCATCCCCTGCCTCCCTCCCGCCCTTCACTCCTACCTCTCCCCTTCCCTCCCTCCCTCCCTTCCCTCCTACCTCTCCCCTTCTCTCCCTCCCTCCCTTCCCTCCTACCTCTCCCCTTCCCTCCCTCCCTCCCTCTTACCTCTCCCATCCCCTGCGCCCGTCCCGCCCTTCACTCCTACCTCTCCTCTCCCCTTCCCTCCCTCCTTTCCCTCCTACCCCTCCCCTTCCCTCCTACTTCTCCCTTTCCATCCCTCCCTCCTACCTCTCCCCTTCCCTCCTACCTCTCCCCTCCCTTTCCTCCCTTCCCTCCTACCTCTTCCCTCCCTCCCTCACGCCATCCTAACTGACGGGAGACAAATGACAGTGCATATAAGAATAAGCCTGCCTCATCCCTCACTATAATAGACACTTTGCCGAGGGCCCCGTGAATCACCCTATTCGGTAGTTTCCTCGTAAAGATTGTGGCAGAAGCTGTTTGGAAGTTTGTTCATTTTGGAGCACGACTGACGGTTTTAAAATTCGTACTCAAAAAAAGGAAAAAAGGAAAGAAAAAGTAAGAGAAAAAAGGGAGGAGAAAAGAAGAAGAAGGAAATAAAAGGGAAGGAAAAGAGAGGAGAAAAAAATGAAA